TTAAATTCTTTATTTCCTAATAGGGTTGGTTTTAAACTTATTTCCTTACATGTGGAGTATTTTAAGCCCCATCAATCTAACTTTGCCATATTAGTGTTTTTTTTCTTTTCCCTTTTAACCGGAGAATATGAATGTTTTTCATTTCTTTCTGTTTTACCATCTTGTAAAATAATATGATGAATTTCCGTTTTATGAAAAATTATTTGTACAGAAAGACAAATTCATAATCAACAGGAACGAATATCATCCCTAATTAGAAAGAAATAAAAAAATGCTGATATGGCAATATGAGAATGACGAGACATGGAGTACCCCAAATAAAGAAATAGGTTTAAAACAGACTTATGAAAAGAAAAAAAATTTTAAACCACCCCATTGTCAGGAAAAGCTCATGGTTGATATTGACTTTGTCCATTGTAACCATTACCTGAACTTTCATAGTCATTACATGTGTTTGAACTAATTTTTGCACTTTTAGGTATATGCAATTGTCAATGTGATCAAGTTATCCGATCTGGCAAAAATTGAAACTCTAACCCCTTTATCTTCCCCCCATTATTTAAGTCAATAGCTTTGCCCTATTATCACTACACCGACACTTTTCTCTGCTTTATCTCCTTCTATCCAATCCAATTTTTCTCATCATCCGCTTCAAAGAATGGCCTCAGCTTCAACCGAAATGTTACCGGCTATTGATATTGAAGAACTAGAAGTTACTGAAACTGATGCAGCACTTCTCAGGGAACTACTAGAGGATGAGTCGGAGAAGGAGGAGCTGGAAAAAGATAGGGTCAAACAAATAGTTCGTGCTCTAGAAGTTGAATTGAACGCTGATTTAGACGATGATAAACATGATAGATTGGAGCAAACTGAAGAACTCAATGTCGATGGATTCGAGTATTATTGGCCTGACATGGTAGAGATGGCACCTAATTCGCCAGCGGTTGATGAAACAATGGGATGGTACGTTGATGACAGAATTGGAACGGGCGAGTTTGATTGTAGCATCGATTGTTCACAGTTTTATAGTGACGTTTTCTTCGAGGAAACAACGTATGGTAGTTTATGGCAGGATTAGCAAAATTCTGTTATGCGCACATTTAACTACTTGCTTTAATGTAATTTTTAATTTTTTTTAGATATTTGGATCAAATTTATTAAAAAAATATTATTATTTAAATTTAAATGAGTTATGAATTTAATTTTGATTTAATAATTAAAAAAATACAAGAATTACATTAATATAAGTAGATCTCTACTCATATATATGGTTTATATTAGATATATTATTAATATATAAATTATATATACTATCAATGAACTATATAATATTAAATTATTAATTTAAAAATATAAAGTTTTTTTTGTATTTATTTTTAAAGATTTATAAAAATATTATATATTTATTTTTAAGGACTTATAAAATTTTATATTTTCTTATGAATGATGTGATCATTTGTGATGCTCTAAAGGTATATTTATAAATTTATGGTGAACTAATAGTTTAAGAGTTATATATAATATATTGTAAATGTATAGATGCTATACATATAATAACACCTCATAAAAATTAATTTTAAATATATTTTTACAATTAAGTGTATTTTCCTTTTTAGGATTTTAAAATTTTCATAATATTCACGTTTTTTAAGCATTGTTATTAAAAAAATTATTTAATATATTAACGGTGAAATTTTAAAATTCAACATAGTTAGAAGATAACCACCTCATTGTAATAATATATTTAAACTCCACCGTCATGACGCATAAATCCTAAAGGATATAACAAAAAGTAAAAAAGTCACTTATCAATCTTTTATTTCATTTATAAAATTTAAAATTTTTTTCTATATATAAAAAATAAACTCTTAAAAAATAAAAAATTAATATAATAAATAAAAAGATGCGTTTTATTTTTAAATTAATAATTATGTGACGTGTTTCTTTCAATCCATTATAATTTTACATTTTATAGTAACTTAAAAAAAATAACAAAAATATCAAACAGCGGTCACGAGTGAAAGATGTACGACTGTTGGGCCCCCATGATGTGGGATTTTATTTTTCTTTTTCGGCGAATAACGTGTTTTTCAGTTTTTGCATTCATGTGGTGCCAGGCTGGCCAGGTAGAGCCGTATTTGACCATCTGTTTTTGTTTTTTGTTTTTTTTTTAAATTTGACACAACTAATCAATTTTAATCTTTGGTTACTCTAATAATCAAACTTTTCGCCAAGCTCAGAACAGTGTAAACCGAATGATTTCTTTTTAATCTGAACAACCAGTGCAAAGCAATTCCAATCCAGAGAAGATTTTTAGACTTGCAGTATTATGGCAATGTGGTTAAGTTAAAGCCCGTCAATCTTAAATATGAAATAAAAACACAAAAATGATATAAAAAAAATTAAAAAATATATGATTTAAAATTTTAATAAAAATAATATATAAATTAGCAAAAATATATATATAAATTTTAAAAAATATATATTTCATATTTCACGTATTTTTGACATTTTGAGCACAAACTATGATATAATAATTTTTATATTTTATATGTATTTGATACAAAATAAAAAAAAATAAATACATAAATTATCAAATCTAATTAAATTAATCGAGCTTGTGACGTAATAATTTGGAGACAACTAGAGCTGTTCTCAAAACAAAGCTTTAAGCACGACTAACAATGATAAGATTTGTAGGAGAAATTTACATCTCTTCGGGAGGGGAAGCAGAAAACATGTGCGGTTAGTAGCAAAATCTGCTTCAATTATGCCTATGGTCAATAAACTTCTTTCCTCCTGCTTGAGTGCTATGAAATTCACAAAGTAAAAAAGACCATATTTCCTGGATCTTAGTTTTCTTCGTGAAAAATAATTCATCCAACAAATTTCTTCACAGCAAACAAAAACTGATCCAATTAGATGAGTTAACCACCAATCTACTTCACAAAAAGAGTGCTCTGACCATTCTTTTCTTGATTCTTTCACAGCAAATTGCTCTCTGCACAGGAAAAATACTAACAACACTGAAAGACCATTCGAACACTATAATTTGTTCAACGGTCTAAGGCCTTGGCTTCATTTCACAAACTCAACTCAGGTGTCTTTGGAGCCTACAACAAACGTGGCTATGAAAAACCTAATAGTATCAAGTGGAGATGAGGAATCAAACCTCTGAACCAATTCCTCCTCCCTAGTTCTTAACCAATCTCTAAGTCAGCATCACCAAATAATTGTCGGTTAGAAAAAGCACAATCAACAATGGCCAAAGAATCAATCACCAAAGAACAAAAAGGATGGTACAACATAACACATCTCATTAAGCTGTGAAACAAACAGCGAATTGAGCATTAACTACACCCTCCTATTCTGAATTCCGTAAGAATAACCAGTTCGGTAGATAAATTTCTACACCCAATCACAACCAGATGGACGTCATTCTATTCAAGCTAAATCAAAAAGTAGACCACTAGAAAATTGAACTGCCTATTTGTGTCTTAATAAAATCCACCATAATGTTCTTCAGTGCCTAATTTCCAATTTCCAGAACATGTAAAAAGTGCTTCATAATAGTTCTCCACTGAAGAGATTTCAAAGCCTGAAAGAATTGAGAAAAATGAAGAAAGAAACAAGCATGTAGTACATAGCATCGCATGGTTTAAAAATAAAGGATCCTAAATAAGAAACAGTACTTGTGTAATTAGCATAAAAAACAACTATTTGGGGATGATACCAAGAGCATGAGTAGTGACAATGCTTGGCAGGTTTCGAAGAAATATTTCCCCCTCAAGCACATCTGTAAAAAGCAAAAGAAAATTACTAAGAGCAATTCAAACTTTCAGAAACATCATCCAGAAATTAAAAAAGTATAATTCCATGTCCATTGCAGCATTTCTACACATTTGGATAAAGGATGAACTGTACCATCAAACAAAGGCAACTTAAATACTTGATTATTCATATCAACAGCAATTCCTTGAGAAGCACAAAAGATCCCAGCTCTTGACAACATTGTTGTTCCTTGACCAATGTATAATCCATTTAGTTCAAAGTAATAAGGATCTACAGTGTACCATATCATATAATTCAAGAAATTATAGCAATTTTGCATTAATAGAAGATATAACCAGTCAAATACAAACCTTAAATACAATAAATATTATATAAGGTAACAGACATGTTTAATTCGACTAATTCATCTATAAGTTAAATATAATTGTCAAAACCATAAAAGTAAATTGCATTCTGGCTTCAATTTCTCATTTATAAAATATGAGAAGCCCCAGTCAACAGCTGGTGCCAATTGAGCTTAGCTTTTATTTTACCTTGCTTTCTCTTCTTCTACCCTAACCTCCTTTTTGTAATCTTCAGTTTAGGCTATATTACACTCTAGTCCTGACAAATGGATTGGAATCAATATAGATACATAATTCCTCGTGACTTGGTACCATAATTATTCCTTGCGTCCAGTCCTAAAAGTCCTAAATCTCCTTCTTTTCAACACCTGAAATTTATAGCATCAACATCTTGACCCTCTTTTGAGTCACATAAAAACAGAGTAGTTTTAACTGAATATGTAACAAGTTCACTTGAGATTTATACACATCCCATTCTACTACACACTTAGTTGATCCTTCTAATAAGAAAGGCTACAAATTTTCATGAAAAAGCTTAAATCAGAAAATGACTCACTAATATTCTTATTTGTTAAAGTGAATCCTAAATCTATGTACCATCCAATCACTAAAGATCAAAGGATCAAAATGGTAAAGCATTAACATTAAAGAATGATGACTTAAGAATAAGCAAAAACTATACCGTTTACCTGTCTGCAGTCCCTGCAGAACAGTTCCACGTGTTATACCAAGTTCCCATCCACCATCAGGCACAGGCTGCTCCACAGCAACTGAAACTGCAACTAAATCTCCTTCCTCACCATGAGACCTGCAGGCACCAGGAACATATACCTATAGATAAACCAACATGAGAAAAGGAAAAAAAAAAAAAAGGGATGAGCTTCAAGTCAATAAATGAGCACTAACAACACAATCTTTTACAAGGCCCCTGGAATCGTTAGGAAAAAATTGTTGATAACTTTCACAGAGAAGATAAACCTCAAATTTGACTAATATATAAAGAAGCAATTGCAGGGCCTTCATGCATGATACAAAGAAAACCATTAGTTCCAAATTTAAGTGACAGATAAAATTCAATAAAAAATTTAACTTCTCTTATATTACACATTAGAAGAAACACGCTGTACCTGAGCACCTCGAAGAACTGCTTCAGCACATTTCCTACTAACAAGTACCTCCTTCAGAGGTTTGTCAGGTGCATAACCATAACCAATTGCATGTGGTCCAGAACCCTTAACAAATACATCATATTCTAAGTTTCTAACCCTGCTATCTGACACTTAGAGAGGGGTCCATTTTGTAAGCTCGACTGCTTGTCAGCCATGTCCGAGTCAATACTATTATTTGCTTCAGTCTTTTTCAAATTGATGTCTTCGACATCATTTTCAGACCTTGAGTTTCTCAACGACAGCATCACTTGTGGATTTGAGAGTGTTCATTCGAATACAAGATAGCAAGATGGACGCCTAATCAAAAATCAACAATGGCAGAACATGAACGAGTGAAGGCCGCATGAAAAAGTAATGGACTCTGTTTTTATTTGCTCATTGCCCTTCAAAATCCGTTAAAAGGAAAACAAAAACAAAAGCTAATAGCTAATAGCAAATAGCAAAAGGCAACAGGCAAAAGGCAAAATCAATATTTGATTAGAAATGAGCACGTAACTATAAACACAAAAAGAAAAAGAAAAATGAGGTGGTAAGATTAGAGAGTTTGGTTGGTGAGAAAGAAGCATACGTTAAGGCTTTGGAGATTTGAGCAAAATGAAGAGACCCGTAGGCTTTGATGAAGTAATCTTCCACCCGAGGATTCCATCGCAATATGGGGTTGTAACTGTAACGCTCAGATGCTGCATCCATCTTTATCTGCTAAATCAAAACCAAAATAATTCAGATTATGCATATATGTAGAAAAAAATGCATTGACTTTGGGCAATAAAAGTGTGAGATAGAGTGCCTGGGTTTGGGAGTTGGGTTTAGAAGGGTGGGAAAGGTTTTGCTGAAAGCTGCGAGTCCCTCCCTCTCTTCTTCATTCAAAAGGAACTTAACATGTCTTTACCGTGGATGTGGACCCATCGCTAAATATATCTAGATTTAAGTAGTCGTCAGGTACGATTAGTTATCTAATGGTATATGTCTTATTTTAAAAGAAAATTTTAAGCTTGAATTAAGTATTTTTAAAATATAAATTTAATATTTATGAAATTAAAATTAAATTTAAGAGTATGATTATATATGAAAAAAATCATAGTACTTGCATAATATTCATCAAAAGATGATATCAATTTAATTTTGTATTATCCATTAAGTTTTAAAAATTTATCAAAAAATTAATTATTAAAAATTATTTTTAAATGACTTTAATACTTTCAGTAAAAAATTAAAAGAATTTTCTTACTTTAAGAGTATACAAAAAAATTTCAATTTTACTTATAAGAGCTTTGTTGACAGATTATTAACATTTAAAAAATTTTATAAAAAATTAATAACTTAACTTTTTCTTAAGATTTCTTTTCTTATTTTATTTTTTTAAAAAAATTAATGCTTTTATTTTTAAAAAATTGATATTTTTAACTTTTTCTTTTAAACTTTTTCACTAAGTACATTTTTTTAAATTGAAAAGATTTTTATTTAAAAAAAAATTGATACTTACAACTTTTCTTTAAATTTTTTTTTATTTAAAAAAAACTAATACTTTTAACTTTTCTTTAAAACGTTTATTTTAAAATATATTTTTTGTAATTTTTTTTATTTTTTAAGAAAAACTGATACTTTTAACTTTTTCTTAAAATAATTTTTTTATTTTAAGAAAATTGATATTTCAAAATTTTCATAATTCTTGGAAATATTTTTATTTATTTTTTTCTAAAAAAAAATCACTCAAAAAAAATAAATAATAAGTAAAATAACAAAAAAAAAAGAAAAAAAAACCAAAATAATCACGATTTAGCTAAGCTGTAACTGCGACTCGACTTTTCTCTAAGAATGGCTTGAAGAATGGCTCGCAATCGACTCAAGCTCGACTTAAAAGCAGGAGCTAACAGCTCAAGTGGTGATTGAACAAAGGCGGAATTAACAAAAAAAATGTGAATCTTCCCTAGGTAGTGAAACACTACGTTTTGGCTTAGTTTAAAAGCTAAAAAATTTTCTTTTCATTTTCATTTATTCCTTCCCAATCTCTCTCTACACATTTAGATTCTTCAGTTTTTCTCTAAAATCAGAAGAAAATCCGTCATTGTTTTTTAAATACCCAAAATCTGACGATGCTCTACCGTTACCGTCGTCATATGTTACCAATCATTGACGCTAAAATTGCTTCAAAATTTTTCCACGAACTCTTTTTGTGCCTCTCTTCCACATGGTATAATTGATTTCTTCAAAAGTTTGCTAGTTTTTATCAATATAAGCTTGAAGTTACTGTTTTATCCCTCTTCTTCGCTGCTCCAATGGCCACCAAATTTGCATATGCTTTTCCTTTTTGTTGAGTCTTCCTTTTTACTAAACTTGAAGATTTAAAACTCTCTAAAACACCATGGATTCGAAATCTAAACGAGAGAAGTTCTCTTTTTTTTTATTTTCTTATGCTAAACTTTTTTTTTGTTGTTGATTGTTGCTGGGTTTATTGTGGATTGTTTATTGGAAATTTGATGTTAGAAATTAGGTGTCACTCAATTGCCCTCTGTTTGATTCTTTGTCTCTATATTTCTATGTAGAACAATTTTTCTATGGCTTTCTGAAAATTGGTTTAGTTAGGGATTATGATTTGGTTGTATGTGATTGAATTTTTTGGAAATTGATTGCAAGATTATGGCTTCTGGTTTTGTGGCTGAAGATTAATTCCTTTCTACATTTTTTATGTTTCTCTATTGATCTTTCTATTAGATGCAAGTTTCGAAGAAGATCAAATGAAAAAAGTATCCCTAATGGCTTTAAGAATAAGAAGAGATTGAATAATGCTATTGGGTCAATTGATATGGCAATAAGCTGTGAATTTCTATTGGCCAAATTTCAAGAATTTTAGTGAAAACAATAATGGCAGTGGTTGTGTAAATAGAGTATGAGGTGATTGAGTTCATTAGAAGTTATGGCTTGGATAATTAAGGTTGGGATGAATGTGAATTCTTTGGAGGTGGGTGAAAAAAGCAAGGTCGAGCTATTGAGGGTGATAGCAAAATTGGCTTTGGTGGAAGTCGATGGTGGTCTAGTGGTTGCACTTGTGCCATTGTTTGGTAAAATCACGATATGGATGACGAAGATGGTAGGGAATGGTAGGTGAGGTAGTGGCTTGGATGGAAAAGAAGGCTAATGGTGAATGTCTCACTTTTGGTCCCATTTCTGTGTAATTATTGTTGCTTCTGTTTTTCACTCTGAGTTTTCTATCTAATTCCTCTTTTTTTTTTTTTATGTAATTGCTCTCTAACTTCTTTTGGTGGTCTACACCATAATTTAAATAAAGAGGATGAAGATAGGATTTCAGTTCAAAAACTGAGCATCATATCCCTTTTATCATGAATTTTACTTTCAATGAGCAATTGAATTTTAAACTTTTAATCCACCAAATCTTATCATTTGTTTTATCTTTTTTTTTTTTTTTTTAGAATAATGATAAACGAAAAAATAAATAAGTAAAACAATAAAACAAATGGGCTTGCATTAAGTCCAAAATGTAATATGAGTTTAATATTCAAATGATAAAGCCAAATCCAAACAGGTTAGGTTCAAAGCCCAATTCAAACTAACTCGAGATTTAAGGATAACTCGAAACGAAATAGGATATCTACAGTTGCCCCTATTTGTACAATTTTTATGAAATAAGAATTGTGCAAATATGTAGACACCTAAAATGTCCAAGTCTGACTTCACAACAATTACAAAATTTTGAAATTCAAAGATTCATGATTTGAACACTAAACCAAAATGGAGATCTAGTGGTTGTTTTTTAGAGGTGTTTTTAAATAAATGTCACAAAGTTTCGTGTTTTTATAAGGTTAACGGTGTTTATTTATAAAATGCCACTAAATTCTTACATAGCAGCATTTGGATTCAAAAACACCACTAAAAAAATATTTTTGTGACGCTTGTTGACCTAAATGCCGTTATATACTTTAACTTTTAATTGAAGGGAATTATTTAAGGCCTTTTTTGCTAGAAATACATTGAATAACTCCCATTCAATTTTTTGTAAAGAATTATTCAAGGCATTTCTAGCCAAAAATGCTTTGAATAATTCTAAAAAAAATTGAAAGGGATTGTTCAAGACATTTTTGACCAAAAACACATTGAATAACCCTATTCAATTTTCTGTAAAGGATTATTCAAGGTGTTTTCTGGTCAAAAACACCTTGAATAATCCAAAAAAATAAGAAGGGATTATTGAAGGTATTTTTTGTAGAAACCGCCTTGAATAACCCTATTCAATTTTTTATAAGAAATTATTCAAGGCATTTTTTGGCCAAAAATGCCTTGAATAATTCCCTAAAAATAGAAAGGGATTATTAAATGCATTTTTGGTTAGAAACACCTTGAATAATAAAAAACGCCTTGAATAATCCCCAAAAAAATTAAAGGGATTATTGAAGGTGTTTTTTGCCATAAATACCTTAAATAAATCCATTCAATTTTTTTATAAGTGCCAAAAAAACCCTTGAATAATCTAAAAAAAATAAAAGGGGATTATTGAATGTATTTTTTGTAGAATTTGCCTTGAATAATCTCAAAAAAATGAAAGGAAATTATTTATGGTGTTTTTGCCAGAAACGTCTTAAACCATTCAATTTTTTGTAAAAGATTATTCAAGATATTTTTCTAGCAAAAACTTAAATAATCCTAAAAAAAAAAAATAGGAGTTTAGTTAAGATGTTTTTTGCTAGAAACACCTTGAATAATCCTAAAAAAAAATGAAAGGGGATTATTCAAGGTAATTTTGATCAAAAATGCATTGAATAACCCTATTCAATTTTTTGTAAAAGGGTTATTCAAGGCATGTCATGAGCCTTGAATCCGTGCGACCTTAGGGGCTGAGTGGATAATACCTTACAAGGGTGTTAACCGTGGCAAGAAGGTTGATCTGGGACACCAGATGAGTGGATGCTCGGGTCTCAAAGTCACGCGGGTTCGAAGCTTAAGTCTTGACTCGTGACAAGTGGTATCAAAGCCAGCCTTAAATCATTCGATCCACCCCAAGCACCTCGAAGGAGGTAGGCAGGGTGGCCAACTTTCGTGACAAAGACGTCACGAGGTTAGGTGAAAGAGAATGTCACGAACCTAAAGAAGAGTCTTGAATCCCATATCGAACATAATATGAGGGTCATTGGGGTATAAAAGGGTTCACACCACCTCTGCCTTGTGAGGTACTTTTTGTAGGAAAAAATCGTGAGGTCAGGGGGGTCAGAGCAGACAATACCTCACAAGGGTGTGAATTGTGACAGGAAGGTTAATCTGAAACATCGGATGAGTGGATGCCCAGGACTCAGAGTCGTGTGGGTTCGAAGCTTAAGTCTCGACCCGTGACACCTACACCTAAATACTCAGTGCTCCTACAGATAGGTGCTTATGCACCTATGCATGTGGGTGTTTGTGCACCCGTACTGCCAACATCTAGGCTTACCTCGACTGTGTCGAACCTAAACACCCTACCTAAGCTAATGAAACCTTGATCATTGCCCACATAACTGTTCTGGGTTGGTTTCCCGTAACTTGGACCTTTAGTACACCTCAAGGCCTGGTCCCCTTAGCTGTCAGACTCTATCCTGCTAGAACTTGAATTATCACCCGACTTGGAAACAACCTCTAGGGCTGGACCAACTTGCAGACCATGACATTCTCCCACACTCATTCTAGTAATGCTCTTGTTGCTAGGGGATAATACACCTGTCTTGCACATCGATTTTAACTTCTACCCTGTGATCTAATTTTCCAACATTTCAGTCTCATATCTGAACATGTACTCTATTGGCTTTCGTTGTTTTTAATCTAAAGTTTTCAGTATTCTACTACAATGGTCCTTTCCATCCGTGCTGTCGATGTTTTTTGCGCTTCCTTTGAGTTACCCATCGTACACTATTTTATAAGAAATCTAGTTGTATTGTGAGACTCATAATATGACACTCT